TGAGCAGCAGGCACCGGGCCGGGGCCGGTGGGAGGGGCCCCTGGGGGAGGGGGACGCCGAGGTTCCGGAGCTGAGGAGGCATGAGGCAGGCAGGGCAGGCCTCCACCACGGCCCCGAGCCCTGGCCCGGGGCGCATGCCGGCACGGTGGGGGTGGGGCTGTCGTCACTTGTTTCAGCTCCTGATGGGGCTAAGCACCTTCTCTTAACCTTCCTGGGCAGCTGGAGCCCTGCCTCCACAAAGCACCTGTTCAAGTCTTCCGCTCAGCCTCCTATGGGCGGGCCTTCTCCTCACTGACCAAGCTGAGCTCTTCCACGCCCTGGACACTTGTGGAATACTGACAGTCCATAAATAGTATCTCCTACCCCAGTAGCTACTTGATTTCTTTCTTTTTTTACTCTTTACATCATCTTTTAATGAAAAAAAGGTCTTAATTTTAATGTGGTTAATTATCAATCCTTTCTTGCATGGCTACTTTTTTTAATCTTTTCCAAAAAATTCCAAGGACATGAAGACATCCTCCCACATCATCTTAAAGTTTTACAGATTCCCAAGGCTGGCAGGTTATTTCACTCCGGTAAAAAAAAAAGCATTTTCTGCCTTGTTTTAGGGCAGAAAGTCAGATCTGTGGAGGGTGAGGATGGGTGTCACAGACTAGAGCCCCTCCTACTCACGGAGGTCCACCAGCGTCACCTGGAGCCTTCTCTCCAATGCCCGCTCCTCAGCCTGGACCCTGACACTGCAGGACAAGGTCGCAGCCTGCAGAGCCCGGGGAGGAGCTCGGCCCCGTCAGCTCTCCGCCCCCCAGAAGAGACAACCACATTCAGACACCACTGCTGTACAGAACACGGGAAGCAGCGAAGGACACCCTCTGTGCACTCTGCCCGCGCTCTTTCCGGGGACACAGCTGTAACCTACAGGAAGTGGCTCACTCACCGTCTTTCAGCTCTTGGACATCCCTGGGCTGAACAAAGTCTGGTTTGACGTTCTCAAACCACCAGAAGAGCTCGGCAATGAAAACCATGACGTTTGGCTGAAAGGAAAACAAAGACCCAAGGACACCGTAAGTAGCTCATTCACACGTGGCTTTAAAAACGTATCTTTAATAACTCGTTATTACCTTCAGCACTAAGGGGGCATACAGCATATCTTCTAGCGTGAGATAAAAGCATCTGTTAAGATATTCATTTGAGAATTCTCTCAGAAGCCGAATATTATACAGACTGTCAGCCATCGATGTTACCTCCTTCAAGCATATATCTAACAGATAAAAAGAAAACTACAATTTATTATAAAGATATTCTGCTTCTTATGTTTCTGTGCACATATATGTGCAAATATATAATTTTAAACTGAAAAACATTTTAAATGAAGGAAGTGGTGATAGTTTTAAAAAAAGGTATTAACGTTAAGAAATCTAAACATTACAACCAGCATTATAAGGCATGCTAAATACAGAAACAAAACACTCAAGAAAAAGATAGTAGAAATCTTCAGGACCTGAATTTAATTGTTAGCATCTAAAAAGCCTACAGAGGGGGGAGGGTATAGCTCAGTGATCGAACACATGCTCAGCATGTATGAGGTCCTGGGTTCAATCCCCAGTACCTCCATTAAAAACTAAATAAATAAACAAACCTCATTACCCCACCCCAAATAGATAAATAAAAATAAATTATAAAAAGCATATAGAAATTACTGAAAACATTGACATTTCCAGCATGGACAGCAACAATCAACTTCCAGTTTACACAAAGGCCTTGCTGCACAAAGCTAGCTCACGTTTAACCAAGCTTTGCTCTCCAGTCCTCCGCATGGGGTTATCTCCACAATGCGGAGAGCGGGGTGTGAAACAGGACGCGTCAGACTTCCCCAGAGGAGAGCGCAGGAAAACCATGCATCACGAGGGGCGGGGGCTCTATGCAGCACGTCTCCGCTGCGGGCCATGCGCCCCGTAGCAGGACAAGTGTCCACCCAGCTGCCCTGCAGGACGCCAGGCCCTCCACCAGTACCCTCAGCACAGGCGTCCCACAAGTCTGAGCGCTCCGTGGGGGAGGCGGGCAGCCCCCAGACAAGACCGACGACAAGACCCAATACAGCTCAGGACTGAAGGAGGAGGAGCCACACTGACAACACATGTTAACCTTGCCTGTAAATCAATAAATAGGATTTGAGAAACATAAGTTATTGCAAAACAGCTTTACTGCTAAGAAGAAATCATTTTCAAGGATTTAGAAAGCTTGTGCATAGATGAGATTCACGGCACCCGGGACTCACGCGTGAACTCTGCCCCACGCGGTGCCCTAGCACTGCGGATTCCCGAGGGAAACCCATTAGTAGCTGAGTAACTGCCCGTGTTTATACTGCTAAGACACGTTTCTTTTTATAAATTCTGATTATGAAATACTACAAACAGAAAGATCAGACTCCCATGTACCCCCTACCCAGATGAAACACGTCAACATCAGACCTTCTCTGATTCAGACCTTGTTCCCTTTTGGTAACAAAGCATCACAGTGCTGAAGCCCCCGCCCTCGGAGACAACCGCCCTCCCGGAGCCACGCGACCCTGACCCCTGCAGGTGTCTTTACCACAGGAGGTCGGTGCCGTAAATCACGTAAACACTGCACTGCTGACCTGGCTGTTAAAAATCTACATTCACACCACAAACGACGCCTGTCATTGTGATGCCTGCCATTCTCCCCAAACTCAGTATGATGATTTCCAAGAGCTTCACGCAGCTGGGGGTAGATTTCAGCCAGTCATTCTAGCAGCTACATAGGATTCCACAATTTTCACTCTCATGGAAAAAAAAGTCACAAAATCCAAACTTGTGTGCGCTCTGCACCTGCACACCCCAAAGGGGCCGAGCGAGCTCCCACACTGGCCACATCCCGTCCGTGGCTGCTGGACGGTGGGAGCGGCCGCCGCGTGTCCCTCCCGTCCCCCGTGCTCCGACCTCCTCTCCTAGGAAAAGCCTGCTCTGTTTTGCCTCCAGCTTGCTCATCTTTTTCTCCCTGATTTGTAGGAATTCTTTGTGCACTATGGTTACAAGCAGTAGAGTGAACATCCTCTGTCGATTTATATTTGTTACTGGTATTTTTTCACAGATACAGTTTATCACTTAATTTTGTTTATGACATTCCTCTGTCATCATACTGCATTTTAATATGATTATAAACATGGGACTCTTTCCTATTATTTGTGCTTCTTTTTGTAATTTAAATACTCCACCCCAACATCAATGTTATAAAAGTATGTTCCACATCTTCTCCTCCACATTCTTAGACTCTGCTCTGCAGGGTTAGGCCTCTTGCCCAAGGACGGTGCTCACCTCGTGGGGGGTAAGATCTCACTGCGTTTCCCCCTGCAGTCTGTACCGGCCAGTCCCCCTCCCCCTATGAGCTGCGCCCCCACAGGCACTGGGTCCCACAGAACAGCACTGGTCAGGCTCCTTCCTCCCTGCAGCTCCCTGGGGCCCCGCGACCACTCCTGGGCCCAAACACACCAGTTTAGCAGATGTGACACTGAACAGAACTTGGTCTTCACAGAGAAAGGACCCCATGCTCTTGTTCCTCAAAATCAACCTGCCTGAAATCTGGGACAACCAAAGAACAGAACAATGAATGTAATGAATTACAACTGGTTGAACTAAATGAAGAGCCCACGAGGCCACCCTCATACGATCACCATGCAGCTAAGGGGAGCAGAAAGGGAGCGGCCCTCGCACGGAGCCCAGCTCACGAGCCGGCAAGCAGGGCTGGGAGCCCCAGCGCGGCGACGAGGCCGGGCGGCCAGTGTCCGTGTGGTCGCAGAGCCTCCCCCAGACTGCTGACCAATCCACCATAAAAACAGAAACGTGCTCTCAGAGCGGGCAAGGCCAGCGCGCACCAGCTGACCAAGGGGTCACAGCCGTGTCACCTACACTGGGCGCAGCGACAGCGCATCCAGGCACTCCTGCCGCCAGCACAGGCCCCCTGCGTAGTCAGGAGGGACACCGGACCAGGACACACCAGGGCGGTCAACACATTAAATGGCCTGCACTCCTGGAAGACCAAGGAGGCTGGGATGTGGCTCCAGGTCCAGGAAAGCAGACATGGCCGCTAAGCGTGGCAGGGATGCTGGACCAGAACCCGAGGGGGAGTGACGGCTGCGACAGGCAGAACCCAAACGGGCTGTCAGCCGCAGGTGCGCCAGCCTCCCTGATGTGAGTGTGAGGGTGCCTGCCTCCTCATCACTCCCCATCACCCCGGAGAGAGGCACAGATGTGGCCAGATGTAACCGCTGGGTGGCCTGGGGAGCAGTGTGCTGGACATCCTGGGCCTTCTTGGTAAATGTAAACTTACACCAAAATAAAGGGCTCCAAGCATCCTCTGTCCCTTTGGCCTTCAGTCTCCCACGAGAATTTTTACATTCTGTGTCAATCTCTGTAAGAAGGAAATTAATTATTTCTTGGACTGGTGATAAACGCATGAATAACTGGGGAGATCACAACGTGCACACTGACTCTGGGGATCTAAGGACCAAAGCCTTCCTCCCCGGCTACAGAAGAGCGCGCCGCTTTCCCGCAGGCTTGTCTCTTTGTGGATTTATTCCCTGAATCACAGGCAGGTCCTCTGTGGGTCACCACACTCACGGGAGCTGGCACCCATGTAGGGCAGATGGACAGTGCAGCCCCTAGACCTCGGGGCTGCAGCTACGGCGCCCCCTCCTGTCCTCCTGTCCATGACAGTCTGGGGTCAAGAGCCCCTGTGGGGTCAGATCACGTCGCCGGGAGGCTGAGAGCATTCATCACAAGTGGGCAGTGGTCCCTAGGACAACTCTGTGCCCCTCCTGAGATGGCCTGGCCATACAGAACACATCCAGCTGTCCCATTCTTTTTTCTAGGGCTTCACGCAGGATTTTCGATCCAGGTTAAGAAGGAAAGAGCCCTTCCCCTCAACTCTGCTCCAGGTATCGGAATGAGGCTGACGAAGGTGACCACACAGAGCCAGGGCACCCGCCTCCCTCTTCTCTGGGACAGTCTTGTGACACAGGGGTAGTCAATTCCTGGAAAGCCAGTGGGACACCCATCCACATGGACATATTTCTGACAACTGAGCCCACTTATTTGTAGTTTTGGTCTATTGGTTCAACAGGAAATTGTCCATTTCATCTAACATTTCAAACACACCTGGTGGACAGACACTCTCAGCATCTCCCTCGTTACCCACTTCAAGTTCACTGCATCTGTGTTCGTGCCCTCGTAACTACTCTTCTCTTTACTTTGCTCTCCTTAACCAGTCTTTCCAAAGGATTGTCTATTTTATTAATCCTTTATAAGAACAAGCTTTTAGTTTCACACATTCCCTAAAACTTCAACATTTTCTATTGTTATTAAGTTTACCTAAAATTTTTAAATTAACTTTTATTTTAACAAAGTCTTTAAAAAGCCAGGGGGAAAAAAAAGCTTAAGAGAAGCAGCAATCTTTGCCCATCCCTCATCTCCGTAAGAGCCACTGGCCCACCCCGAGCCAGCCCACACGACCACCCCCGGGGTCTCACGCTGCCACGGCTACGGAGCCGCCTCTGAGCTCAGCTACAGTGTCTCTGCTTACACTTCTTACACGCTTTCTGTTTTTCCCAACCTAACCCTCCCCTCAGTTTTCCACGTCCCTGTTACTCTGAACGCCCCTCCCTAGGCCTGTGTCTCATCAGGGGGTGTCTCTGTAGCACACCCACACCCCTGACACTGACGCCAAGCTTGGAGAGGCCGCAGCGTGCACTTCCTGGTCAGTATCTCTAGATGCTCCGGTATTGATCAGGCATACCGGGGACAAGATCGCTGGGGCCAAGATCGCAGGGCACAAGATCACCGGGGACAAGATCACTGAGGGGCAAGATTGCGCGGGACAAGATCGCAGGGGACAAGACTGCCGGGTACAAGGTCACTGAGGGACAAGATCGCGGGGGACAAGATCATCAGGGACAAGACCACCAGGGACAAGATCGCGGGGGGACAAGATCGCAGGGGGGCAAGATTGCCGGGGACAAGATCGTGGGGGACAAGATTGCAGGGGGCAAGAT